ACCAGCACAGAATGACGGCCCTTTACTCAAGCTTCTGGAGGCGAAGCCGAACGTGACCACCAGCAAGTTGGCAACCTCTCTAGGCTCCACCTAACTGACAACTGCCATGCTTCTCCGCAGTCTCGGTTATCGGAAAAAATTTTTATGAAGGATGCCTCATGAGTTGAACCCCTCTGACAAGTCATACCGAATGACCGTGACTGAGTTTTTTTTTCCTTGTACACACTGGAGGAACATTTGTGAGATCTTGTGGTTGGTAGAGAGTGGTGGGGTCCTTGCGTACATCTTGCACATGTTCCTCGCAGGATCTCTCAAACAGAAAAGTAGATTGCACAGCCAAAAGCAGATGTGCATGGGATAAAGATTTCAGTAGGTTATTGGTGGGACTTCAAAGCGGTATCTCTGGATACTAGCATAACGGTAAGGACTACAGTCCACTCTAACCAACCTCACAACATGGATGACGTCACGCTTGAATTCTTCAAAAATACTCAATTTTTCTCTACCGCTCGGCAATGCGAAGACCGCATGTTAGGATCAGGCCACACCAAAAGATCGTGGATCTTGATCTGAGAATGCGACCATACCCAGCTTATTCATCAAAGTTAGCAGTCTCTAACTACTACCTTTTTTGATCCCTACCGCATCCTTAAGAAGGCAAAAATTCCGAAAATCGACGTCTACTCAAAAATGAGGTCCACCTCTTCTTCTTATCATAGTTGCCGTAGTTCTATAAGAATGGAAATGAGAAGCTGTGCAAAAGAAGGGCACTAGTCCTAGTCCTTAGTGGTGATTACCTTGTAGATTGGAGATGTCTTTTAGTGACTGAAAATTTAGTCCGAAAAATTGGTCAAAGTGTCGCAGGACTTTTCGAACAACCTAATACTTTGCCTGCGGAGCCGAAAAGATCAATACCTTTCGAGAGAGCGGAGGGGAGCAAACATGATTGCGATGCGGTGCGGACCCTTACTATGGTAGCGACGAATTTCATTTCATGACATCATTTGGACTAAAGCAAGCAGGGTGTGGGAGAAGTGCATGAAATCTATGGTTCGAGTGTAGCACAGAGCTCCTCAGTCGCGGCATCGCGCGAAAACTAAATGTTTGCTAGCTAGTTGACTTAACACTTGCGACATTGCCACGATCGATTGGTTTCTGGTGCGAATGAGGTGCACGTTTGCAACGCTTCACCCATCTGTCGCCGCATCTAGGGTACGCTAAACTACAGCATGTTTGACCCTAGGCAGGTCAGTTGCGACTATTCCACTCAAACCTAACGGGCTTATATAACAGGCACTGCTGAGTTTGACTTCATTTTTTTCATTAGGGTTGGATAGGGCATGAATCTTTTTCAGGGGCGCTTGGGTTCTACCGATCGGCTTATTCGCCATATCTATTGGATTTTGGGAGTCATGGGTGTCAGAGAAACATACTGGAACCACATTTCACGAGCTCTATCAGGTACGTTGTCGTTCGAACTATGCACATTTGTAATCGAATCTACGAGAACATGGACGAGAACACTTTGTTTCATTTCCGTCTTTTTGTGTAGGTCAAATATGGCCTGAGGAAGCTGAACATCTCGACCCGTCTCATGATAGCTGTCGTTCGTATCCTTGTTGTTCTTTCTGTGATGATCTATGCAGCGAAAGGAAGGGTCAAGCCATATCTATTTTTCAACGTTCTCACTTCGTACAGCTTCAGTTTCAGACAGACGTAGGTTTAAAGTTTCAATTTCGACTGCATTCCCATTGAACTTATGAAATTTGGGTGTTTACAGACGTCTGCTCTTGCTCGCCTTTGGGTTGATTTTGCTAAACTTTTCACTTCGTGGTTGCGCCCGTTTCCTTGCTGCAATCGGGATGCGCGCATTCTCCCTGTTCCATCCTGTCACTATTGTACCGGCCGTTGGGTATGCTATCATCGCTTTTATTTGCAACCAGAGAATCTGCGGAATTGCAAATGTAAGTCGATTACTTGTCATAATGCTGTACAGTTAGTTACAAATTAAAGCAGGCTATCGGAGTTGGGAGAGGGGGGAGGGTTTACACTGCGACGTAGTCCTGTAGCTACGCACAGCCCTAACTAAACTGCTCTAATCGCGCCAATTTTCTGTTTTTCTCTGTGCTCTCACCTCTGCATGACATTCTCTGACCGCTGTGACCTTACGCTTTTCAACTTTTCGGGCAAGTTAGGTGACATCCTGGAGTCTCCCCCACAGAAGCTCATTCTGTGGTTCGCAACTTCCTTTTTGCATATTTCCACCCTGTCTCGTCAGTCGAGGTCCCCTATTTCTCTGCACTGTGGCCTTTCGCACCAGGATCTCCATCTAA